TCCCGCCTTCACCCAAATCCCGCCTTCCCCAACTCCCGCCTTCACCCTGACTCCCGCCTTCACCCTACTCCCCCCTTCACCCTGACTCCCGCCTTTTACCCTGACTCCCGCCTTCACCCTGACTCCCGCCTTCACCCTGACTCCCGCCTTCACCCAACTCCCGCCTTCACCCGGGTTCCCGCCTTCACCCTGACTCCCGCCTTTCCCCCCGACTCCCCCCTTTTCCACCCCCCAACCACTCCCGCCTTCCCCCTGACTCCCGCCTTCACCCCGACTTCCGCCTTCCCCTGACTCCCGCCTTCACCCTGACTCCCGCCTTCCCCTGACCTTCCCGCCTTCACCCCGATCCCGCCTTCACCCTGACTTCACCCCCCCTTCACCCTGACTCCCGCCTTCACCCTGACTCCCGCCTTCACCCTGACTCCGGCCTTCCCCTTTACTCCCGCCTTCACCCTGACTCCCGCCTTTACCCTGACTCCCGCCTTCACCTGACTCCCGCCTTCACCCTGACTCCCGCCTTCCCCTAACTCCCGCCTTCACCCCGAGTCCGCCTTCACCCTGGGCTCCCGCCTTCACCTGACTCCCCCCTTTCCCCCACTCCGCCTTCACCTGAAATCCCGCCTTCACCCTGACTCCCGCCCTTCACCCTGACTCCCGCCTTCACCCTGACTCCCGCCTTCCCTGACTCCCGCCTTCACCCTGACTCCGCCTTCACCCGACTCCCGCCTTCACCCTGACTCCCGCCTTCACCCCGACTCCGCCTTCACCCAAATCCCGCCTTCACCCCTGACTCCCGCCTTCACCCCAACTCCGCCTTCCCCTGACTCCCGCCTTCACCCCAAATCCCGCCTTTACCCTGATCCCCCCTTCACCCCCGCTCCCGCCTTCACCCCGACTCCGCCTTCACCCTGACTCCGCCTTCCCCCACTCCCGCCTTCACCCTGACTCCCGCCTTCACCCTGACTCCCGCCTTCACCCAAATCCCCCTTCACCCAATCCCGCCTTCACCCTGACTCCCGCCTTTACCCAATCCCGCCTTCACCCTGACTCCCGCCTTCACCCTGACTCCCGCCTTCACCCAACTCCCGCCTTCCCTGACTCCCGCCTTCACCCCGACTCCCGCCTTCACCCTGACTCCGCCTTCAAACCCCGACTCCCCCTTCCCAATTTTTACCCTGACTCCCGCCTTCACCCTACTCCCGCCCCCCCCCATCCGCTTACAACTCCCGCCTTCACCCTGACTCCCGCCTTCACCCTGACTCCCCCTTCCCCTGACTCCCGCTTCACCCTGACTCCCGCCTTTTACCCTGACTCCCGCCTTCACCCTGACTCCGCCACCCTGACTCCCGCCTTCCCCTGACTCCCGCCTTCACCCTGACTCCCGCCTTCCCCTGACTCCCGCCTTCACCCTGACTCCGCCTTCACCCTGACTCCCGTTTTTACCCTGACTCCGCCTTCATCCCGCCCAACTCCCGCCTTCCCCTGAATCCCGCCTTCACCCTGACTCCCGCCTTCCCCTTCACACTCCCGCCTTCCCCCTGACTCCCGCCTTCACCCGACTCCCGCCCTTTACCCTGACTCCGCCTTCACCCGAAATCCGCCTTCACCTGACTCCCGCCTTCACCCTGACTCCCGCCTTCAACCCAACTCCCGCCTTCACCCTGACTTCCCCCCTTTACCCAACTCCCGCCTTCCCCTGCTCCCGCCTTCACCCTGACTCCCGCCTTCACCCAAATCCGCCTTCAACCCTGACTCCCGCCTTCACCCAACTCCGCCTTCCCCTGACTCCCGCCTTCACCCTGACTCCCGCCTTCACCCTGACTTTCCCGCCTTCACCCTGACTCCGCTTTCACCCTGGGCTCCGCCTTCACCCTGACTCCCGCCTTCACCCTACTCCCGCCTTCACCCTGACTCCCGCTCACAAAAGTCCGTTCACCTAACTCCGCCTTCACCTGATCCCGCCTTCACCCTGACTCCGCCTTCACCCTGACTCCGCCTTACCCCGACCCCCCGCCTTCACCCTATGCTTCCCCCGCCCGCTTCACCTGCCCCGCCTTCCCCGTCCCTCCTGATCCCCCTTCCCTGACTAACTTTCTACTGTTAAAAACCCCGTTACCCTTACCCCGCCTTACCACTACCCGCCTTCAAGAACGCTTCACCCTGAACTCCCGCCCCCTTCCCTGACTCCCGTTCATGATCCGTTACCTGACTCCGTTATGACTTCGCCCCCCGACACCGCTTCAAACCCTGACTCCGCCCCCCTAGTCCGATCACCCGATGCTTTACCCACCCCGTACCCTAATCCCATTTCTTGCCTTACCAGAGTTAACCTAAAATCCCGGTTACCCTACTACCCACTTCAACTTTAACCTTCCCCGAAAATGCTTAACCTGTCGCTTTACCCCAAATGCTTACCCGATCCCGCTTACCCATCCCCCCCACCCCCCTCCCCCCTTACCGATCCCCTTACCATTTGCTTTACCCCAATCCCCCCTTAAACCGATTTCCCCCCCCCCCGACCGTTACCCTGACCCCCCTTATGACTCCCCCATCCTACCCCCTTACCTTTTTCCCGCCCAAAACTGTTCCCCCCACCCGTTAAACCCCGATTTTTAAACCCTAACTTCCCCGCCTCCCCACCCCGCCTTACCCATGGTTCCTACCCCCTTTATAAACCCCATTCACCCTATCCCGTTAATCCCCCCCTTCACCCCACTCCCGCCTTCACCCCGACTCCCGCGTCCAACAGAAGGTCACGTTCAACCTAGGTTAACATTTATTGCTAAGTTAACATGTAACTCACGTTAACATTTAACACACGTTAACCAACAGACCTCTGGCTTTCAAGAAGGCGCTGGACAGGCACCTACAGTCAGTACCTGGCCAGCCGGGTTGTGGTTCGTACGTCAGTTTGCGTGCGACCAACAGTAACAGCCTGGTTGATCAGACCCTGATCCACCACGAGGCCTAGTCACAGACCGGGCCGTGGGGGCTTTGACCCCCGAAACCCTTCCAGGTATACATTAACATTTAACACAAGTTAACATATAACACCCGTTTACATATAACACAAATCAACATTTAACACAAATTAAACATTTATAACACTGTCAAAATTTAGCACTAAGTAAACATTTACCACAATTCAACATTTACCACAAGTTAACATTTACCACAATTTAACATTTACCACAGATTAACATTTAACACAAGTTAATGACTCACGAAATCGTAATAACACGATTGTAAACCAACCAGGGAACGGGCGGAGGTTGAACCCATGACATACGCACTGGCCTGGAGTTTAACGACTCACTCGCCATGGGTTCTAACCCCACCCGTACCGTGGTTTAATACATGCCAATAATTAACATAGTTAAGCATTTAACAGAGATTAACCTTGAATATAAATATTTAACACAGGTTAACATTTAACATAAGTCAACATCTAACACAAGTCGACATTTAACACAAATTAACCTTGAACATAAGCATTTAACACAATGTCGACATTTAAGCATGGTTAACATACAGGTACGAGACGATATATAATTTTCTGTCTTATAGGGTACAGAGTTACCAATATAACAGTTTATGTACAGCAGGTTCGCAAAGTTAGGGAGGAGGGGGAGACACTGCCTACCTAACCTAACTTGCCTTAGGACACCTAAGTTTACCTCACCTAACCTAACGTAACATTACTTAAACCTAATCCTACTATGTCTTACCTAAAAAGCTGTAACTTACCTTATGGAGCCTTAAGCATATCTAATATAACCTTACCTGGATGTTTACCTGGAGAGAATTCCGAGGATCAACGCCTCCGCGGCCCGATCCACGACCAGGCCTCCTGCTGGATCAGTGCCTGATCAACCAGGCTGTTACTGCTGGCCACACGCAGTCCAACATATGAACCACAGCCCGGCTGATCCTAACCAACCAAACCAAACATTACTTTACATAACCATACCTAACGAATAATCTTACCTAACAATAAATAACCTCACTTAACGAATAACCTCACCTAACGAATAGCCTCACTTAACGAATAACCTCACCTAACAATAAATAGCCTTACCTAACAATAGCCTCACTTAACGAATAACCTCACCTAACAATAACCTCATTTAATAATAGACAACCTCACCTAATAATAAATAACCTCGTCTACCAATAAATAACCTTACCTAACAATAAATAACCTTACCTAACAATAAATAACCTTACCTAACAACAAATAACCTAACAATAAATAACCTTACCTAACAATAAACAACCTTACCTAACAACAAATAACCTAACAATAAATAACCTTACCTAAGCACACCTAACAATTTTTTTTACCTAACTACATCTAACCATACTTTACCTAACCCAACTTTAACCAACCTTAACTTTATCGTATCTAATCTAACCTAACATTTCATGAACTAACTTAAACGAACACTGGGAAGAGCCAGAGGGATGGTAAGCTTCGTTGTGACACAGGTCGTGCCATGTGTTCACATCTGGCTGTGACACAGGTCGTGTCATGTGTTCACATCTGGCTGTGACACAGGTCGTGTCATGTGTCACACATCTGGCTGTGACACAGGTCGTGTCATGTGTTCACATCTGGCTGTGACACAGGTCGTGTCATGTGTTCACATCTTGCTGTGACACAGGTCGTGTCATGTGTTCACATCTGGCTGCGACACAGGTCGTGTCATGTGTTCACATCTGGCTGTGACACAGGTGGTGTCATGTGTTCACATCTGGCTGTGACACAGGTCGTGTCATGTGTTCACATCTGCCTGTGACACAGGTCGTGTCATGTGTTCACGTCTGGTTGTGACACAGGTCGTGTACATTTCTAGTTGACACAGGTCATGTGTGCGTGCGTGTACACACATGTCTAGTTGTGACAGGTCGTGCGTGTGTATTTAGAGAACATGATTCGATTAATTAATCTATCAATATTCAACATTCACTCTCTCACATTCACTTTCTCTCACTCTCACCTGGCAGCAGGTCTTGAGACCTGTTCTTGTGTAGGTTGTGCGGTAGCTTGGCCTGGCTGGTTGAGAGCCTGGGTTTGTACTCTTGCAGGCTGAACATCTCCGCTCTGGACCTCTCCGAGATCACGCACTCCATCTGCAACAATTACCACCACACGCTGAGTAACAACACCACATGATGGGCAACAGTTATCACACGTTGAGCACACATTACACAATTCGGAAAATCAGACCAAAATAATATACATATATGACTTGCGAAATCGTGATGATAAATTTGTAATCAACTAACTGAACGGACGATTGAAAAGAGTGTCAAGCCAGAGTTACAGCTAGCAGGTCAATGCCTTAATTATTGTAGCATGCCAGCCTAATGGAAAAATAAACAAATGCAGTATAATGTGATCCTTTATTGACTACGTTTCGCCCACACAGTGGGCTTTATCAAGTCACAAACAAACCTGGGTAAAGAGTTTGAGTATAAACAGGGTGGAGAGTCAAGTGAAGAATGCTGGGTAGGCTGAATTTGAGACGGACCTGCAGGTCCATCTTAAATCCATGGTTTAAAATCATGTGAGACAAGGTAGTTAAGGTATTTTAACATCCTGTCTTTTATTCATTCGTATTACAACTGTGATCAGTGATGCTGGATTCCAGCCACAGTCTCCTCTTCATCTCTGATTCAGTAATATCATAAAATAAAAAGACAAGAGAGCTAACTTATAGGCTATTCCATGTGCAAGCTTTGAGAAACAATACGTAAGAGAATTATCATGTAGCAATGATGATTAAGAGACATGTGCAACAGTTGCACATGTCTCTTATCAATTTTTGGATGTTTTATGCCATTTTCAGCATGTAGCAATGCGAGAACACCAGTATGCTTTTAAGTATGGAAAGGGATGGTATAAAATACCGACACGATGAATGACACAAATGCAGTATAATACGATCCTTTACTGCAGTATAATGTGATCCTTTATTTGTCAATAAAGGTTCGAATTCAACTGCATTTGTATCATTATATTTATATCATTATATTTGTATCATTATAGTTGTATCATTATATAAAACAACTGTCCTTTGTAGGAACTGATAACATATCTACTCGCATATATACTCGTTCTCCGTGAGTATATGTGTATTTGTACTACAGTAATCCTCTGCAGAACTTTATAATGTTCAGTCCTGAGTGAAATGTCATCTTATTACAAGTTATTACTGCATACTGTGTCTATAAGCCCACACAATAAGGAAGCCAAGGAGAACAAGAAGCGAAGCTTTTATTTTTGTTACTGTAGCAGCCAAAGAGCGGCTTCCTGACGTATACCTCACTGCACTCACCAGCGTATTTTATCGCCGGAACACGATCCTCCAATGAATTTGGCAACAAGGTCCCCAATCACTGTTGAGTTAACACAGGTGAATGAGGAGCAAAAAACATTCTGGTCAGTTTGTGTTACTCTGGCCAAATTTCGAACTTCTCGCTTGCCATGAATGTGTATTTATGTAAACAATCTTCTACTTCCTAAATGACATGAAACAACTAATTTAATCCACTGAATAACAAAGCAAAAACAATGCTATGGAATCATACTGAAAATTTCACAAATCTGTAATGTGTGTGCGTGTGTGTGAGAGATTGAGAAAAAGAAAAAATGAGTCTCGACAACCTTCGAAAATGCTACGACATTTATTCCAGATTCACTGACGACAGTGGCACAAGAGTTATACACCATTACTGTCTGTGGCTTGAATGTAAATAACTATAAAAACTTGCAACGAGACAATTGATGGCTATTCTAACATTACAAAGTTAGAGTATTTGGCATGTGGGACTAAAAGAATACTTAAAGAAGACGCGTATTGAAGGAGACGTTATGCCACAGGTGACTCTTCAATCCTAATACATAAACTAGTGGACAATACGGTATATATATGGTGGAAATGGATCCGGTACGACTTACAGCGTAAAGCAGAGCAGTGAGGTCACACGTCGGAGAAGAGAGGGTGGAGTAGTGTACATCGTGTTACCTGATGGTTGTCCTGCTTAGGTAGGATCATTCTGGCGAAAATTTTAGAGACGTTAAAGCTTCCTGAGTTTTGAATGACAGTCTGAAGGCGCAATCACTGAAGTTTCTAAGCACTGGCGTCAAGCAAATTATTTTCTTTAATGAGTAGTCCAGCTTCTCCCACTTCATGATGTGACTGTGCTGCGATGCTACACCAAACTTTTTTTCGCATCATGGCTGCAGGCATATCTGTGGTCGTTAATTCATTATTCCATGATTCTGGCTATTTCCCCTACGTATACTTTCTTGTATCCTTCACAAAGGATCCTAAATATCATAGTAATGGTCTGAACAGTGCTGGCTAGTTTCAGTTTAACTAGGTCTCTAATGGTGACCGTGGAATTGGTTGCTATTATCATATGACCGCATGGAGCGCTGGAGGAATGTTTGACAAGCTGTTAATGGGGAGGACTATGTACCTGCTGGAAGTTCTTGCTAGTGTGTCGTTGTTGCTTTCCCTGATAACGTGGAGAGTACACCTTTTACACTTAGACGAAGTATTTAGGAACTGTTGCTCAACTGTAATCATGTCCTAGAAATTCCACCCAGATTCAGTAGCTGTTCCTTCAGCATTATAAAAGTTTGTTTCCGGCAGCAATTCAAGCTTTCTGGGATATACAGTGCCGCTCCACTCCCTTTCCGTTATTTCTATCAACGTGGAGCAATTTAAATCTCTGATTGTGGCACATAACAGGCACTTCCAGAATCTTCAAAAACTGCTTCTTCAAATTTATTCATCTTCAGTTTTAATCCTTTCTCGCTCACCAGTTTCCATTCCTTGCAGCTGGTATCGTTGGTATTGTCTTCCTTGTTTCAAGGATGAAACTTCTTGTTCTCTTAAGACTTGTACCTTCTTAGCTTCCTCCAACTCTGCCTTCACCTGAAGGTACAGCTGCTCAAAACTCAGAACAAATATATGAGGGAAAAGTTCATTAAATAAGAGTGAAAGACTGAATGACTGGTGGAGGAAGTATGACTGGTAGTATGACTGTTCAGAAAGGGGTTGTGAGCAGTTACCTTAACCCTCCCCTCCTTCATCCACAGGGTGAGAGGCAACAAGAGACCCTTGCGGACGGAACAGAGTCACTTGGCTTCCTGCTCTCAACAAGTCTGTAAGTATGGAGCTGCACTCTTGATTATATATTTTGTTTAGTTTTTGTTTTCTTAATTTCATAGGCCTAAAAAGCAAGGGTCTTTTCTTACGAATATGCAGGATGAACATTTGTTTTTTTTACGGCATAATCTGCAAAAATCAATCTGAACATAAAGAAAAAATATATAATATTGGTTATAAGTACTATTGAATAAATTTAAACTGATCTATGATATGTTTAATAGAATTTGGCTAAAAAAAATTTAGGTTAGGTAAGGCTTCCAAGTTAGGTTTGGTCAAAAAATTTATTTTTTTTTACATAATTTTCAGTGACAAAATACATCTATCAATCTCTACAAAAAATTTTTGGAAGTCAGATTTTTAAGAGCTGAGCATATTCGGCAAGTTCGGCTTATTATGCACGAGGTCTTCTGTATGTCAGGCCCTGTGCTGTACGATTCAGCTATAGAGGTTACAAAACGATAGCGTTACCACCTTTGCTTCTTTGACAATTAGTACCAGGGACTGGGGGTTTTCTTCAAGCCAATAGAGAGAACAGAAAAAACAGGATATTTAGGGAAAGGAAGTCGGATGAGCTTGAATATGGGTCACCTGCTCGTGTAGTATGTGGAGGAGATAAAGGTTAAGGGAGAAATTTTCAAGTGATTCATAATAATAATAGCAAGTGGTACCTACATTGATGCATGCCGATAAGTTTGTCTTCGGAACAGAATGATTCTTGAGACCCTGAAGGTGCAGATTATCTTTGAGCTCCTGCACGAAGTCTCGACGCTCCCGATGCTCGGCTTCTGTAAGGAAGAAGTTGACCTCCTTAAACTTTATTTTTCAGTAGCCTTAGGAAACACTAAGGCACAGTATCATTAGGAAACACTAATGTGCTTCCTAATGATACTTCGCAGGCACGCACCCCAGGCATAGCTATATATTAAACTCCAAAACAATCTAAAGGTAATATTATAAATCTTCTCTTTCACCAAAAAAGTGCTAAAAAATCGAAATAAAGTAAATAATGAAATGTGAGAAACTCCACAGTTCCCAAATACGTGAGTGAGTTATTTGGTGTCAGCAGGCGGAACGTTCAGAGGCGACACCATTAGCTAAAGCTAACCACCTTTCCATTCAAACTGTAAACAGGTAAACAGGTAATTACACTGGCAACAGTGTATCACCTGGACGGGAAACAACCACAGTTATGAAGGGAGATATTCCCTCTCATATTCATGACCTACGACACTTGCTCCACACAAGTGAGAACTAAAGTCACTTATCATATGTATATAATATATGGCAGGGCAATCCTGCCCTCACTACCGCCCCTGTCTTCACTACCGCCCCTGCCTGCCTCCACTACTAACCCAGCCTTCACTACTAACCCAGCCTCCACTACTGACCCAGCCTTCACTACTGACCCAGCCTCCACTACTAACCCAGCCTTCACTACTAACTCAGCCTCCACTACTGACCCAGCCTCCACTACTGACCCAGCCTCCACTAACTGACCCAGCCTTCACTACTAACCCAGCCTTCACTACTAACCCAGCCTTCACTACTAACTCAGCCTCCACTACTGACCCAGCCTTCACTACTAACCCAGCCTTCACTACTAACTCAGCCTCCACTACTAACCCAGCCTTCACTACTAACTCAGCCTCCACTACTGACCCAGCCTCCACTACTGACCCAGCCTTCACTACTGACCCAGCCTTCACTACTAACTCAGCCTCCACTACTGACCCAGCCTCCACTACTGACCCAGCCTCCACTACTGACCCAGCCTTCACTACTGACCAAGCCTTCACTACTAACTCAGCCTCCACTACTGACCCAGCCTCCACTACTGGCCCAGCCTCACTACTGACCCAACCTCCACTACTGACCCAGCTCACTACTGACCCAACCTCCACTACTGACCCAGCCTCCACTACTGACCCAGCCTCCACTACTGACCCAGCCTCCACTACTGACCCAGCCTCCACTACTGACCAGCCTCCACTACTGACCCAGCCTCCACTACTGACCAGCCTCCACTATGACCAGCTCCTACTGACCCAGCCTCCACTACTGACCCAGCCTCCACTACTGACCCAGCCTCCACTACTGACCCAGCTTCCACTACTGACCCAGCCTCCACTACGACCCAGCCTTCACTACTGACCCAGCCTCCACTACTGACCCAGCCTCCACTACTGACCCAGCCTCACTACTGACCCAGCCTCCACTACTGACCCAGCCTCCACTACTGACCCAGCCTCCACTACTGACCCAGCCTCCCCTACTGACCCAGCCTCATCTGACCAACCTCCACTACTGACCCAGCCTCCACTACTGACCATCTCCACTACTGACCCAGCCTCCACTACTGACCCACCTCCACTACTGACCCAGCCTCCACTACTGACCCAGCCTTCACTACTAACCCAGCCTTCCACTACTAACTCAGCCTCCACTACTGACCCAGCCTCCACTACTGACCCAGCCTCCACTACTGACCCAGCCTCCACTACTGACCCAGCCTTCACTACTAACCAGCCTCCACTACTGACCCAGCCTCCACTACTGACCCAGCCTCCACTACTGACCCAGCCTCCACTACTGACCCAGCCTCCACTACTGACCCAGCCTTCACTACTAACTCAGCCTCCACTACTGACCCAGCCTCCACTACTGACCCAGCCTCACTACTGACCCAGCCTCCACTACTGACCCAGCCTCCACTACTGACCCAGCCTTCACTACTAACTCAGCCTCCACTACTGACCCAGCCTCCACTACTGACCCAGCCTCCACTACTGACCCAGCCTCCACTACTGACCCAGCCTCCACTACTAACCAGCCTCCACTACTGACCCAGCCTCCACTACTGACCAGCCCCACACTGACCAGCCTCCACTACTGACCCAGCCTCCACTACTGACCCAGCCTCCACTACTGACCCAGCCTCCACTACTGACCCAGCCTCCACTACTGACCCAGCCTCCACTACTGACCCAGCCTCCACTACTGACCCAGCCTCCACTACTGACCCAGCCTCCACTACTGACCCAGCCTCCACTACTGACCTAGACTCCACTACTGACCCAGCCTCCACTACTGACCCAGCCTCCACTACTGACCCAGCCTCCACTACTGACCCAGCCTCCACTACTGACCCAGCCTCCACTACTGACCCAGCCTCCACTACTGACCCAACCTCCACTACTGACCCAGCCTCCACTACTGACCCAGCCTCCACTACTGACCCAGCCTCCACTACTGACCCAGCCTCCACTACTGACCCAGCCTCCACTACTGACCCAGCCTCCACTACTGACCCAGCCTCCACTACTGACCCAGCCTCCACTACTGACCCAGCCTCCACTACTGACCCAGCTCCACTACTGACCTAGCCTCCACTACTGACCAGACTCCACTACTGACCCAGCCTCCACTACTGACCCAGCCTCCACTACTGACCCAGCCTCCACACTGACCCAGCCTCCACTACTGACCCAGCCTCCACTACTGACCAGCCTCCACTACTGACCAGCCTCCACTACTGACCCAGCCTCCACTACTGACCCAGCCTCCACTACTAACCCAGCCTCCACTACTGACCCAGCCTCCATTACCTTGCCTTATGTACTCCAGCGTCTGAGATAATGTCTCCACCAGTCGACGCTCGCGCTCTGAAATAAACAAAAATAAATTAAAAGACAGAAAGTGAGAAATAGTGAGAAATTATAGAGATGTTATATTAACTTGTCAATTTAAAGAAACTGAATGGAAATATTCCGCGAGTCTAACTGATTAATTAAACAAAACCTATTCTGTTCATAAGACAAAAAGGCGCAGTACGTGACTGGAACAGATCTTCGACGACGTTTGGTCGATTTGACCATTTACAAAGTCACTTTGTAAATCCAAGTCTGGCCGAACGTTCGTCGTAAGCTTTTCTTCCTATTGACAGCTATTGAATGTTGTAGTTTTGTTCGTAAGTAAAATGAAGTCGTTGCACCAGAATTGAATTATTCTTGCGTCAGAGTTCAAGCACAAGATACAATTTGTTCAACCAGAAGTAACTGTTTATTAGACATAATATGAGTCAAGCAAAAAATAAATTGCTAACCTGCGCCAACACAAGACGGTTAATTTTTTTTTTTTTTTTTTTTTTTTGCTGAGATGCAACATGATACACTGTTCCAACACACAAAGTCAGTAGGTGACTGAAATACTGAGATATGCAGAGGCTGACGGTGTGCTGGTGTTAAGAAGAACATACATGGCTGCAAACAGGCTACCTAACGTTTTGAGGCATCTGGTAGGTGACTGAAGGCGTCACGATGAGACCTGAGCCACACTTAGGGATAGCGATCAACGTGGGTTCGAATTCTACTGGCTGCGATATTTGTGTGTGCGTGTGTATGTGTGTATTATACATTATACACACGCACATAATATTGTTTTGGTAAAATATGCATTACAGTACTATATGAACTAGTGCAATACGTACAATGCGTATAATACGCATTGTTCTGGCACAATGCATTTTCTGGTACAGTGCATTTCTCTGGTACAATACTGTTCCGGCACAATATGTACTGTGCGGGTCCAATACTGTTAGGTATTGCTCAAGTACAATATGTATGAAGGTACAATATGTATTTAGTTAAGTGTTATTTCGGCACAATACTGCATATATTTAAGTACTAGATTAGTAACGCACCATTTTAATTCAACAAGTTTTTGTGAGAACGATGTCGTATTATGTTAATTTTGTCTGTTCCGTTGGTACACTGGTATATTAAAATTTGTTTATGGGGGTCTCTGAATGTCTCATGCCTCAGCTGCTAGCTGGGATGATAATTTAGTAGTTAATTTAGTATTGATCATGTCTGGTGATGACCTTGAATGGTAGTGAAGAAATCTGTAGCTATGTTGGGTTTGTTGATCGAGATCTTGGAAATATGTCTGGCAATCGGGTTGCAGAAGGTATCCCCTGTTCCAAGATAGCATGGTGTTGCTGTGTCTGACATGTATCATCCTATTAATGGTATACAATATCGACTTGTTGGTGAATAAGACATGTAATACTTTGTATCTATATTGCCTAGAAGATTGGTCTCTGAGGTAAGAGAATTTGTCTTATCCTGGCTTCAAAGTTGGTGCTTCTTAGTTGATTTAGAAAGACACATAAGCAAACACTATGACATATTTATTAGAAAACGTGTCGGCCTGGGACCTTGATCACTTCTAACATACAGAGGTAGAAAGACATTATATATAAGCGGAGAGTAAGGTGTGAGTGACGCATGGTGACCTGAAGAATTTCATGTTGGGATGAGGACGGGTAGACGATGAGATCATGTGACTCCTGTGTTATTGGGTTGGTGGTGCTTTGCCTGCTTGAGTATCATATATGCTAATGTTTTACAAATTTTGTGGTTTCCAGTGTTACGTTCTATTGTGTCGGTGACGGCGACACAATAGAACGCAAACCAACTTGTCGGTATTTATTACCAAGGTTTATACCATCCTGTTTCTTAGTGCAAGGTTCGACTTAGTTTAGGGCTGTACATGTCCTAATTTTCCATTTTTATTGAAAAAATGAGATAAGAGTGTCCACGTGACAACTTATGAATACCATATATGATTTGCTTCAAATATTCAATGCTAATACTGCATCATAAACGTATGCCACACACTGCATTAATCTTCTCGCATGTACTGACCTAAAGGTTCTAATGGTACATATCTCTGGGATCAAGCAGCGACCCAAACACGTCTATCTAGTTATCATTATATTTACTTACAAGTGATAAGGCAGTACTTATAATATGGGGTTAAAGTTATAATAAACCAGCCAAAATGCATCTATATATTTGTACTAAAATGAAAAAAATATATACAAGCCCAAAGTACCAGTATCAGCATAAGCGGGTATTAGCCATTTTTACGGTATCAGTGAAAAACGGCCTATACCTCGCGATATATTTTCAAATATTAATATTTAATGTGTTCTTAAAAATATCAATATTAACACTACCTCACGATTGTGAGGGACACACACACACACACACACACACAAGTGCCTATGATAAGTAACTAACACAACAGACCATATAATAACATCCCAAGAGAAATTAAGTTATTTAATATTTAACATTCCCGTGTAATTTAATACCCATTGTGCAAAAAGTTTTCCCTTATATACTGATCATAGTCATTAAACTTAAAAAAAAAAACTATAGGAAAAGTATCAGCATTAGTGGAGGAGCACTATAGGCGCTGTATAATCCTCCGGGTTTAGCGCTTCCCCCTTGATTATAATAATGGAGGAGCACTGTAATACCTGCGCGCCTCTGGCAAGCCAGTGATGGTGACAGTGCTCAGTTGTATGTGAGTCCGATTACTTCAATTTTAGCAATAGTAACAAGAGGAGATTAAAGAATTATTAAAGAAACATAGTTAATTGTTATAACTTGATATCCGTCTTGCGCCCTTTCTCAACTGCTTCAGTGTGAGACTGACTCACCATAAAGCCCAGTGAACATTAAGAAAATATTTAAATACGTTTACCAGGGAATGGTTTATCAATCATTAATATTAAGCAATATGACTCGTGGCGAAGAGTAATTAAAGATTCATCAAAATAATTAAATGTAAATGAAGATGACATGTAAAATCAGATATTAAATAATTAAAATTAGTTACATGGATAAGTTAAATAAAATTTTACGTCTAAACTCTAAATTAATAAGTTTGATTCCTGATGGCTTCTGTTTATTGAATTTGAAAGAAATTCGAAATATATCTTTTCATATGCCAAAAAAAAAACAAATCAAAAACCACTTCTAGTATAGGGTTCCTGCTCAGACAAGATGGATCCTACACAGATGACAACAAAGAAATGAGTGAGATACTGAAATCTCAATATGACTGTGTTCAGCGAGCCACTAATCAGCCACAACTTTTTCATGAATGAGCCTCAAAACCCTGCCAGTGTAGGCCAAATTTCTGACATAACCTTGACTCTACTAGACTTTGAGAAAGCCATCGACGACATGCCCATGCACTCAGCACCAGGCCCAGACTTGTGGAACTCGGTGCTCATTAAGAACTGCAAGAAACCCCTCTCACGGGCCCTAAGTATGCTATGGAGACGGAGCCTAGACACAGGCGAGATTCCAGTCACTGAAAACAACGGATATAGCCCCACTCCATAAAGGTGGCAGCAAAGCAGTAGCTAAGAACTATAGTTCTAAGAAGCAGGATAGCAAACCACCTGGACTCCCAAAAATTGCACAATCCAGAGTAACATGGTTTCAGAGCAGGTCGCTCCTGCCTCTCGCAACTATTGGACCACTATGATATGGTTTTAGATGCACTGGAAAACAGAATGCAGATGTAGTATACACAGATTTTGTAAAAGCGTTTGACAAGTGCGACCATGGTGTAATAGCACACAAAATGCGTGCTAAAGGGATAACTGGCAAAGTGGGTAGATGGATCTTCAACTTTCTAACCAATCGCACACAAAGAGTAGTGGTAAACAGAGTTAAATCGGAAGCTGCCATAGTGAAGAGCTCTGTTCCATAAGGTACAGTACTCGCCCCTATCCTGTTCTTCATTCTCATATCTGCATCATCCTTTGTAGACGATACTAGGATCTGCATGAGAGTGTCATCCATTGAGGACACGGCAAATCTCCAAGAAGATATAAACCAAGTTTTCCAATGGGCAACGGAGAACAATATGATGTTCAATGAAGACAAATTCCAACTACTCCGGTATGGAAACCTGGAGGAAATCATAGCTAGGCCTGAGTATATTACAAACTCTAATCACACAATAGAGCGGAAAAGTAATGTGAAGGACCTGGGAGTAGTAATGTCCGAAGACCTCACCTTCAAGGACCACACTATCACATCTGCGAGGAAACTGATATGATGGATAATGAGAACATCCAAGACAAGAGATGCTAAGCCAATCACTTGTTCTCTCAAGGCTGGAATACTGCTGTACACTAACATCCCCATTCAAAGCAGGTGAAATTGCAGATCTAGAGAATGTACAGAGAACCTATACTGCGCGTATAAGTTCCATCAAACACCTTAACTACTGGAAACGCCTGGAAGCACTTGACTTGTACTCGCTGGAGCGCAGGCAAGAGAGATATATCATAATCTACACCTGGAAGATTCTGGAGGGACTGGTCCCTAATCTGCACACAGAGATCACTCCCTACGAAAGCAAAAAAATTGGCAGGCGATGCAGCATACCCCCAGTGAAAAGTAGGGGCGCCACTGGTGCACTAAGAGAAAACACAAGTGCCCGGGGCCCAAGACTGTTCAACAGCCTCCCACCAGCCATAAGGGGCATTACCAATAGACCCCTGGTTGTCGTCAAGAGGGAGCTGGACAGATACCTAAATTCGGTGCCGGATCAGCCGGGCTGTGGTTCGTACCTTGGACTGCGTGCGGCCAGCAGTAACAGCCTCGTTGATCAGGCCCTGATCCACCGGGAGGCCTGGTCGTGGACCGGGCCGCGGGGGCGTTGATCCCCGGAATGCCCTCCAGGTAGACTCCAGGCAGGTAGATATAAATATTAAGCAATATTATTCAAACATGTCCTATATAATTAGAATGGGGTAACATGACAAGGCCAGTACCCCTTCCAAGGGATACTATTACATTAACGGTAACCCTTCCAAGGGATACTATTACATTAACGGTACCCCTTCCAAGGGATACTATTACATTAACGGTACCCCTTCCAAGGGATACTATTACATTAACGGTACCCCTTCCAAGAGATACTATTACATTAACATTACCCCTTCCAAGGGATATATTACATAAGACCTTAAGAGAACTATTACATTAACATTACCTTCAGTATTTTATTAATGTCTTTAATATTATTATTATTATTATTATTATTATCGCAAAACTCGGTCAACTTGAATGTGTCATATGACGCTAAACGGAAAGGAAAAAGCGTTTGCAGAATTTGTTATACAAAGTGAAACTATTGGTTTTCAACCGGAGTCGCGCGACCTGCCTTCCAGGCTTCTGCGAAATTCTATAAATCGTAAAAGTTTTTAAAAGCTAATCCCCCGGCCTTACTGCAGCTGCCTTGGGCAAGTAGTGGTGTGCAGGCCGTGGTACATAAGAACAGCAACCAACAGCTGCCCCAGGGCATTGCTGCAGCTGTCCTTGGCACACAGTTCTCTCACTATGAGCGAAGCAGCGCATCTCTCTCTGCTTCTCCCTGTTATCCCTGTATAATGCAGGCTCATCTTGTTAAAATTTAGCCTCTCAGAGACAGCACCGCTAGCTACCGTAGCAGAGGAGACTCCACTACAAGTCAAACTCACCAACCTGATGATTACCACCAAGGACGCCGCCTCCATCATATACTTCAGCGACGATGACACCAACAAGACCACAGGAACTTCTGCAATGAAGTGACTTAAGGATCAGCACCGTCAATTCTGAAAGCCAAGAAATCAATATTCATCAAGAAACTGGATCATGGTGTCATGAAGCAATCGCTAAGCTACCTGAAAAACCCATTTTGAAAACCTGAACAACTGGGCCAAGGTCGACGAGATAACCTTAAAACCCAACGCCTCATAGCTCAACAAGTGATTCGTGAAAGCATAAGGATTCCCTACTACTATATTAATCCAAGGAATATTAAAGCTGAGCAATATTACCATTTCAGTCCCTGCTGGAACTGGAGCTAAATGGTATCCGCCCACTGTGTGGGCGAAACATAGTCAATAAAGGACTGCATTAGGCTGCAGCTGTGTCTATTTTTCCACTGTGCTAGAACTGTTATACCCACAACCACATCGCCTTTAAAGGACAAAAGGTATTACTCTCAATATGAAAATGACGGCCACACTCAGAGACTGCACATCCACCTGGCAAAAAAAAAAAATGCCCGCAACGGTAAAATACCACCTGAGGAAGATAAACAAGAAAATTTTTTTTAATTCTTCCAAGAACTCCACATATGTATATATATAGCCATAACTAGACTCCGGACAAAAAATCCTGCAAGTTGCCCATCAACCTACCTTTGCGACTACAGTACCTGCAGTCGACCCTGCTTCAGTTTTCAAAGATGAAGCACCTAAAATGATTCAGACTTTCCTCATTTAAGCCCACATCCAGTATGCATTACTATTAGGAACAAGCAACACAAGCAACCGCGAGCTCATCAGACTCAGTGACCTGAAGTAGTTCCATCGGCTCAAACACTCGGTGAGTGCCAGGGCTCGTGTTTTTTAAGTTAACCTCCAAACAACAGACAAGTAAACCTGCAACCTCACTCAGCTCCAGTGATCTCACATGCAACCAATTCTGATAAAAAAAATATCGGACTAGGAAGACATGCCAGAGCCTCTGGGCTAGAACGTGCGCCGTAAGGCTATGTGACTCACCTCAACTCTTACATGCTAACTTCCTGTGCCAGCCCCGTCCTACCATCTGAATGGCCAAAACCTTTAACCTGTCATCATCGCTCTACAGCTGGGTCTAGTCCTGGTTCTCTCTCTCAAAAGAGTCTTCCATTATCATCCATTCTTCTCCTGTCCCCACTTCAAGGCTTATTTTTATAGGGTTTCTTTTGTACGTTATGTCAAGCCCCGGGAAAGTAATGGTGTGCGGGCCGTGTACATGAACATAGCAACCAACAGAAATGCCGAGGAGACAACAGGGTATACACACTGAGGCTGTGTCCCTCTCAGGGTTTACTGGTAGAGAGAAGTGTGCCCCTCCCTCGGGGTGTACTGGTGGAAAGAGTGTGCCCCTCCCTCGGGGTTTATTGGTGGAGAGGAGTGTCCCTCTCTCAGGGCTTACTTATGCCCTTCTCAGGGCATACTGACGGAGAGTGCCCCTCTCAGGGCTAATATATTGACGCTTACCGGCCAGTTTTATAACTATTTCTCGCAATCCTTCAATTTTTCCCCTCAAAATAAAAAATCGCAAGTACACTTAGTGTCTTATTTCTATTGTGATGATTTAAGCATTTCTTCAAAGCTGAGTTACGGTACATAAAATTCCATGGTGTCGTTTGTAATTTTGTAACGTTCAGTAATTTTTATGTAGTGCGTGTCTTCGGCAGAGTACCATAAGATGTATATGGATATGCCTTGAAAGATGAACCATTCAATAATCCTACTGAAAATTAAATTTATCGAAATTTCATGCAGTTTACACTCGTACAATACAGCTAAGTTGCCCTGTGTCATGCCAGCCATGGGCCTCGCCAGACATGAGAACTGCCCTCTACCATTTATTGTCTGTAAGGAAACGCTGGCAAAGAAAATCTTGGTAATAACCTAGCTCATGCCCTGTTTTCCTAGTAAAACATGGATACATAACTGATAAAAAAAAAAATCTTTGGCATATTTTAAAAGATTTTTGGGTTCTCCAAAAAAGCAAGCATTTGCTTTTGAAAAGATGATTAAAGTAACTAACTTATTTTACAAGGAAAGTCATCGTGTGGCCGAGCTCGTTAATAAATAAATGAAAGCCAGTATTATACACTACCTCTCATCTTACCACCTCGCCTAACAATACTAAAAACAATGTACAAGATAAAAAATATAAAGATTTCACTTTCAAGAAATATCCTAAATAACAAAATTAGTGATATGTCAAATGATATTTATAATAACAGGATACAAAAATTTTATTTTTTTTATAGTATTAAGTACATGATTCTACAGATTTAAGTTGCAAAGCACATCCATGATCAGTAATTCGTTTCCATGACGATGAAATAATTTAAAAAATGATGGAAAATACTAGAAGCAGAAAACGACAAAGATGTGTTGACAGACTTCATAGGTAGAATTTTACGATTTGTATGTGACAAATCGTAAAATTCTACCTCAGGTGTTAAGTTTTAGGAAATTCAACACAAAAATAGTCTTGCGACAGTTCATTGTTTTATGAACCGAAAATCCTTGGATGCTAAAGAGAGCCAAATTACGTCTCTCCTTCAGTGTTGCCTCATCATGTGCACAGATATATTCCCCTAAAACGCAAATATTATCACAGGAGAGCGCTAAACATGTAGGGATTATACAGTACCTATTGGGAGGGAAGGGGATATGAATGACATTCAAAGTTTAATTCAGGGAATTGGAGCTCAGATCCAATTCCCAAGATCAAGACCCCCTCACCCCCTTACCTTTGAGGGGTAAAACGCAAATAACCCGCACATAAGAGAAAGAAACTAAGGACGACGTTTCTTGAGTGAATGTGCTCTTGCGAGGGATACTTTCTCCTGTACGAGCTTTAACTTTCTTTCCGAGAACAGAAATCAAACTCCCAAAGTTTTATATTTTTTAGGGTCATAGCTGGCTGTCTCTGAGATTTTCCTAGTGGAAGGTTTAAGTCAATTTTATAATGTTATGAGGTGTAGGTCAAACTTATAATCATATTGTTCAGCTTATGATGTTAAGTGTGTGATTGTAACAGTAATGTGCGACGGTGACATTGGCATGTGTGTCACTGGAATGTGACTAACACAGGAATGTGTGCCTGTGTCACTGGAAATAAAATACAATCATTAGGCTCCATTGTAAAAAGCGCTGGCTGGGTTGGGTCTTCGTCTTCATTTAACGCTTCAATCACCTTCAATGTACTATTTTTTTGCATTTATTGGCATTTTTATATACTTATTTGCTTATAGACAATGATCTAACAGTGAAACCGAAAAAAAGTTAACCTTCTCTAACTTACAGAGCGAATATATAAACAACTGTTTCAAATCATTTGTAGGAATGTAACAATTAAGTAATAAACAAGTGTACCATGTCTTCCAACCTCTGTATCAGCTAATTACGGGAATTATTCACTCTCTTCATCAACTAAATAGCTAGTACAAAAATATATGTAAATACACAGTGTTCTAATAAAACACTATAGAATAGTAAGGTTCATCAGGAAACAGGACAAGTGTTTCCTGACGTGGGTTTCACCCCTCAAGGAAGGTTCCTTGACGCTGGCGAGGGGCTCTTGATCTAGGGAATTGAATCTGTGCCTCAGTTCCCTAATTAAGCCTGAATACCTTCCACATCCCCCCACAGGCGTTGTATAATCCTACGGGTTTAGCGCTTCCCCCTTGATTACAATAATGACGTGGGTTTCTGTAGCATGATGACCCACACCTGAAGCTTTTGGTCATCTGACTTCCGCTAGCTTACCGATCCACCCTTTTAAAAATTATAATTATTATTGTACATATAAAAAAGTAAAATAAATATGCAGATTATATATTAATTTTTTTATGCTAAAATTAAGTATACAATTAATAAAACAATGTTTAAAACAAAACATTTACACTTTTCCTAAAATAAATTAAATTTTCAAAATAAATGTAAAGGAAATTAATTTTAAACAGAATTCTATGTAATTCGCAGTTTTAAAATAATTATGTACTTTGTCAGCTGTTTTACGATGGCCAGCGTGAGACGACCTCTTGTATAACTCAAGGGCAACTCGCAAGGGCAGCCCATAAGGGCGCCCCACAAGGACGACCCACAAAGAATTCACACGGGCATCCCACAAGGATAGCCCATTAGGGCAGCCCACAAGGATAGCCCATAAGGGCAGCCCACAAGGATAGCCTATAAGGGCAGCCCACAAGGATAACCCATAAGAGTAGCCCGTAAGGATAGCCCAGAAGGGCAGCCCACAAGGATAGCCCACGAGGGCAGCCCACAAGAATAGCACATAATGGCAGCCTACAAGGATAACCCATAAGGGCAGCCCAGAAGGATACCCCACAAGGGCAGCCCACAAGGATCATCCACAAGGGCGTTACCCACCTATTTACCCTTGCGCTAGCAGAAAACGGGGAGCGATATTTTTTTTTTTTTTTAGATTTTACCGCCGAAGCGGCTAGTTTATTGTGCATGCCATATCCATCATTTGGACAGTAGCACAAGAGCATATTGGATCCACAAAAGCCCGAGGAACTAGGCCCCAAAAGGGGTTAACGGGGGTAAATCTGGATTTATTTCTACAGTTACCTCATATGATGTAAGCAGATTAAGGAAATTTACCTCTGGTTTATAACGTGGTTATTTGTGAATGGTTTGTAAGTGGTTATTTGTGAATGGTAGTAAGTAACCGAACTGAACCTCACCGAATGTAACCGAGTCTAATCACATTGATTAAGTTAGGCTTGGATAGATTTGGAATGGTTAGGTTTGGCTAGAAACATTATAATCATAACTAAGCGCTAAACTCATAAGGGTGATACAGCTGGTTAAAAATGTTTTCTAAATTAGTACAAAGAGGGCTTTAAAAATGGGGTACTCAACACAGTGCACACAATTGGGAGTCCACTAGGTTTATTCAAGTACAGGTATACACAAATATAGTTACATTATCATACATATCAGCATATGTGTTGATTACCTACGATAACCCCAAAAAAAGCCCATTGGGGTCCTTGTGATAACTTATTATTTAAACGATAAAAAAAGCTTTAAACTCTGTGACAAAATTTGCTTGCATTGGGTTTTATAGAGACTGAGTTATAAAAAATGAAATAAACCTGCATCTAAACATAACAGGGAAACCGGTTATTTTTATATAGCCGGACTTGAGTCCTGGAAATGGGAAGTACAATGCCTGCACTCTAAAGGAGGGATTCGGGATATTGGCAGATTGGAGGGATATGTTGTGTATCTTTATACGTATATGCTTCTAAACTGTTGTATTCTGAGCACCTCTGCAAAAACAGTGATTATGTGTGAGTGAGGTGAAAGTGTTGAATGATGAAAATATTTTCTTTTTGGGGATTTTCTCTCTTTTTGGGTCACCCTGCCTCGGTGGGAGACGGCCTCGGAGCTGGAGGAAATTCATGATCTTTGATACATTGTGCTATTGTATTCATGTTTATGTTTTTCTGTAAATGTATTCTGTTTATTAATAAATGTTCACATAGAATATCAAATATAGGGGGTGGTAGGAGAAGAAAATATTCAAACAGCTCCGGGGAGAACCTTGAGTTTTCCATGAGGTACGTTTATTGTCTTCTCTGAGGATGAGGGTCCCCATTCCAGCTATAGAGGTGGTACTTCCCTATATATATATATATATATATATATATATATATATATATATATATATATATATATATAATATATATATATATATATATATATGCAAAACAACCACTCTGAAAGAATAGAGAAATTCCAAGCGCTTTCGTGACTACTCACATTATCAAGGTACTATGAAAGTGAAGCATCCAAGGAAGCTATATAAGGGGTCGGCCAGCACCTCACTATCGATCCCACAACGGTTAAACACGTGACGCGCGGCGAGCCAACTTGATTATATATATATATATATTATAATATAATATATTATATATAATATATTATAAGATATAATTATATATATAAATATGTCGTGCGAATATGTAAAACTGGTCATTTACAAGAACTCATTTAAAATTAAGTCGTTTCTGAAATTTCTTTTATACGTTGAAGATATATTGTTTTCATTAATGTTGATTTAAAAATTTTTAATTTTGCACCAAAAGAACTTTAGAAACTTACCTAACCTTATTATAACAAGAACAATTTATTTTAGCCTAACCAACTAAATATATTTTAGATTTGTTTACAATAATTATATACTAATCAATACACAGTGAAATATATTTTTTTCGTTAGTTCAGAATGATTTGGCGAAATTATTGCATACACAAATTTCACTTGCCCTATATGGCAAGATGAGCGTTGCTATTTAAGCCAAGATGGCAAGTTCTGCCTATCGGCATGACATATATATAATTATTATATATATATATATATATATATATATATTATATATATATATATATATATATATATATATATATATATATTATATATATGTTGTGATGATGTGTGTGTAAACATTTTCACGTGTAATTTATATTAATACTGGATCTCATTCTGATAGTATAATAAAACAGGTGAAATGGAAGTTTTGTTACAATTTTTTATTAGAAATTTTTATCATTTAGATGAAATAATTTCTGGAAGATGTGCAATGATTTAAATTCATTTGTTTTATTTTATAAGGAGTAAGCCTTAGTTACTTTATTAACATGTTATTTACTTCGTCACCGGACTTCAAATTGCGGCATCTAATGCAGAGCTAATGACTGCTATCCTAGATTACACAAAAACACGTCATTCAGAAACTTATGAACAAACCCTTCAAGAATTCGTGAGTCACTTCATGATTAGTATGTTAGCTGAAATCCTGATATTGCATCGATATACTTCATTAACCATCTAACAGATGTTTAACTACATGATGTAACTAGTACCCAAAAGATATAGCATGTAACTGTATGCAATATAGTCTGATACACAATGTTGACACCATAATTATTTTCTTGCGCTAGTGCAAAAGGAATGAGCTGCAAGTACACAATAAATTATTTATCAACGAAGGCGGCTCAAGTTTATTCCTGTTCCTTAGAGAATGATCATTAGTGTAATCTTGAACTGCACATTATAATTAGATAAGAGTTTATTTCCGTGGGTTCTGGTAGGATTAAGCTAACTACGAAATAAAAATGTATTAAAATTCCAATGAACTTGGATATATAATAGTTGACGCTTTCTGCACGTTGCCAAGAGTATAGATTTGTTAGACATGTAGTCGTGTTTTTTTCCTAATGTTAATCATGTTACCAATACCGTGATATGGTTAGATAATTTGGCTCTGCAGTGAGTTTAATGATGAAAACGAAAGTATGTCAATGAGTTATTTTGTTTTGTTCACATTCAACAGTAAACTTTATGGAAGGAGCTATATTATTGAATTAAAGTAGGAATTGGTTTATATCTATATTCTTGGGCATGAAGCATATAACGTCATCCACATACGTGTACCACTTAGCTTTAATTAACAGGATATGAGTAGAGTTAATGCAGAAGATCGTTCAGGAATGAGTAATTTACCGACGTGATAAATTATCCACTGACCGCCTCTGCTATTTGTGGACAAAGAAGTATGGCTGGTTTGTATAGTGACTTGGGAAACTGTTTTGTTAAAGGTTCTTGACAAGCCAATGTAACCATGATATATACTGGGATGATGCTTTTCTACTCGATATCACCTAAAACGCATTAAATCACTGCTGATTTTGGGCATTTCTCGTATGAACATCCACATAACATACGGCTACTGAAAATTTTCTCAGGATGGTGTGATATAACCGGACAGTGGTGTATAGTAACCATACCTTGTAGTGGTCACAACTGGTATGGTTGCCAACCTATCTTACGTTTGTGTATATATATATATATATATATATATATATATATATATATATATATATAATATATATAATATAGGGAGGTACCACCTCTAGAACTGTCCTGGGGCCCCTCATCCTGAGAAAAGAATAAACTTGCTTCAGGGAAAACTCAAGGTTCTCCCTGAAGCTGTTTGAGAATTTTCTCCTACCACCCCGTATATTTAATATATATTTTATTTAAAGGCAAAATACATTGACAAAACTCCTATGAACTTCTATTCGATGAGAAAAAAAAATGTTTTTCCAATAGCAAAGCTTATATTTATTTTGTACCCAAACTCAGCGAAAATGTCGATACATCACGAAATAAATACATTTCATTAAAATTAAAAAAAATACTGAACTGATATTTTATTATTTTATTTAGGTAAAACCCTAAACTCGAAGGGGTCATACAGCTCCTAGGGAATGGAAAAAAAATAAGGTTCGATCCAAAGATGAGGACAAACCAGCATCAACAACCCCCGTCTCCCGAAGGGTGTAAACTGATGTTAATTATTATAATCATAACCAA